CAGGGGCACATTTTGGAGTTAACAATAAGACTTTGGAAAAAATTCGGGAACGTTTTTACTGGATCCACTATCATGGCGACGCTAAAAACTAAGATCTCGGGGGCCCATGAAACAGTACAACGTCGGTCTCCCATTTGAAAAAATAGCGATAGATGTAGCCGGACCGTTCCCTGAGTCAGAGCGTGGTAACCAATACATCTTGTTTATCATGGATGACTTCAGTAAATGGCCAGAAGTTTTCGCTATTCCCAATCAAGAAGCCATCACTATTGCCCAGGTGCTAGTGGACGAAGTTTTCAGTCGTCATGGTGTGCCACTGGAGTTGCATTCCAGATCAGGGACGAAACTTCGAATCTGCCATCTTTAAGAAAATTTGTGAGATCTTGGGCATTCGTAAGACAAGGACAAAACCTTTACATCCATATAGTCAGATGGCATGGTAGAACGATTTAATAAGACCATAGAGGAACACCTGACAAAAGTGGTCGCAAAGAACCAGCAAGACTGGGACAAACATTTGCATCCTACCGAATAATCAAGAGGATTAATGATTTGGTCCATCGAGTTCAGCGCAACACTAGGAGTAAGATGAAAGTTGTACATCTGGACAGATTGACGAAATATCATGGGCGTGAAAATGATCGGGACGCTCAATTTTAAGAGAAGGGCAGTTTTACGGTGCGGTTTCGCCAGCGTTTACAGAATCCATGCCTAAAATTCCAGAAAAGACTGCCTTATTCGGGCAAAGAGATAATCGCGCGGATTATATGAGAATGGATTACGTATATATAAAGGCCGGTATTAGTTAGTAGTTTTTAAGTTCAAGATTGACTGTGATATGATTTAGATAGTGAATTTTGTGAGAGTTGTACAGAATTAAGTTGTTTGAGTTAATTAGTGATGTAATTAGTGTCAGAGTGTGTAGTAACGTGGAATAAATTATTGTTGTGTTAATTGGACTTAGATTTTGGAATAAACGAACCCAAGATTTCTGTCACTCACCCCAGAGCCGTGACAATATTTTTCAAAACAATATAAATCCAGGACAAGTATCAATGTGCCTCCGTAAGTACAGTATTTACTCAATAAAGTATAATTAGGTATAAAAATGGTTCTTCTGGTTTTAATAGCAAACGACCAAAAAGAACAATTCCAGTCTGTCTTCACCAGAGAAAATCTAAATAGTTTTCCTTGCCTTCCAATTGAAACCAAAAACCCAAATGAACTAGCTCTAATCAACTTCACTACAGAGAAGGTTAATGCAGCTCTCCTTTTCCTAAAAACCTACTCTAGCCCTGGACCTGACGGAATACCGGCTGTATTATTGAAAAAATGTGCCAACGTGCTATCGCCACTGCTAGCCAAGCTATTCCAAGACTGAATCAACGAAGGTACCCTACCTGACATCTGGGAGCAAGCAATTATCATTCCAATTTACAAGAGTGGAGATAAATACGACCCCGCCAACTACCGGCCGGAAAAAATTCTAGCCAAGGAAACTACAGCATTCGTCGTCGAAAACAACATGATTCCATCGTCACAGCACGGCTTTTTACCAAAGAGATCGACCACGACAAATCTGATCTCCTGCGTTGACAAATGGTCTAGCTAGAGCTTTGGACGAAAGAAAAGAAAACCGGTAGATGTAATTTACCTTGATTTCCAAAAAGCCTTTGATACAGTTCCACACAAACGACTCTGTTGCAACCTGAATCACTTGGGAATAATAGGGAACTATTCACGGTGGAGCAACTCCTTTCTTAAGCAAAGAGAATTCCATGTTAGAGCAAACGGGACATACTCTGACCGTCATTCAATTATCAGCGGAAATCCTCAAGGCTCGGATTTAAAACCTATTGAAACAAACGTCGAGTCATTCGCAGTCGACAAAAAACTTAACTGCAAGTCCAGCATCTAAAAAATTACATAAACACTATACAAACGTGTACAAATACCTGGCAGCTCAAGTTAAATGAAAGTAACTGTACAGTTCTACATATTTTTCGAAATAACCAAAAAAAACACTACCAAATAATAAGTCAATTAGCTCATTTACCTAATGCGACACGCATTTGGAAACAAGTCCATTAACATGATTAAAAAGCTGTACATAACTTACATCAGACCAAGACTGGAATATGGCTAAACTGTTTGGAGCCCCTACTATATTAAGGACATTAAACTTCTGGAACACGACCAACGCAGAATATAACCAAAATTACTTCGTACGTACCATACGAATTGAGACTACAGAGATTTAACCTCACAACGTTGGAGGAGAAAAGAGAAAGAGGCGACCTTATTGAAACCTATAGAACTATTAATCCTTACTACGCTCCAGCGCTCAGAAAGGAAGAAATCTTTCTTAACAATCAAAATAATCTCAGGGGACATCATCAAAAGCTGAAAAAGGAAAAATCTGCTCTTCTCGGAAGGAAAAACTTTTTAAGTAACAGAGCGGTATAAAAATGGAACTCACTAAGTGCGGAAACTATAGGTGCATCTACCAAAAGCAGTTTCAAATACAAACTAGATAAAAATTTAACAAGCCTCCTCAACACACTGGTAATAACTGGTATCTACTTACACTACCGTCTACCTGTAACCAAAAAGTGATAACAAAATAAATTTTTTTAGAGACTATGTCGAACAATCATAAGCAATAGACTCATCGGTGTCTCACCGCTTCCTATTGCTCAATGGATAATAATAATAATAATAGGCTTTTGTGCATTAGCAGCTAACTCTCGTGGCCGGGTGCGTAAAAACAGAACATACCATTGTACAGGGTGATTCATTAAGAATGGCACTCGGCCATATCTCAAAAACTACTCATCGTAGTCTTGTCGGAAAAAAATTATCTCATGAATATGGCCAAGAGAAAATGCTGGAAATATATTTCAGCTTTCCAAAATGACCGTAAGGGGGCGTAACCCAACTGTCAAAGTACAAAAATGGTTTTATTTTTCCAATTTCAAATGGAAACCTATCTCAAAAATGCTAGCAATAGATTTTTGATGAAATTTCACACAATTTTGATTCATGACTTTTTACCATAACTTATCGGATAAGATAGTTATGAGCTGTCAAATATTGCAACTCAAGAAAGCGGATAACTTCAAAACGACTCAACAAATCTGGTCGATCTTACGTTCGTTGGAAAGACAAGAGTCTGTTCTTCAATTTTGTTGTAAAAAATTCAAATTCTGGTTTGTAGGACTGACGCTATGGGTCAATATTTGAAAACAATTGAATGTTTCCAATTTTTCTTAAAATTTTCAAATGGAACGGTATATTTAAGATATGTTAAATCGATTTTTGAGGATGTTTTACATATTGTTTCTTTATTATACCTTCCTACAAACGAATTCCAGAGAGTGTTAAAATTAGTTTTATAGAAAATAATCAGTATTTATGAAAAAGTCCTCGTAAATTGAGCAGATACTAGTTAAGTATGTCAGGCTGACACATTTTTGAAACTTCAAACGCTATTTTCTAAAGTCAAAAATGCATTTCCCAAATGGAGTAGCACAGGATATCCTTGAGGTTCTGCATGAATGTAATGGAAATGCAGCAATCGCAGCCACTGGAATCTAATTATTTTGAAAATGGACAATGCTTATAAAAAAAATAATAGACTGGTTTTGGATTATCTCTGTTAGTATTTACAGAAAAACCAGAATGAAAAATGAATAAATCCACAGTACCCGGGTGCCGAATTTATGCGGAAATGACGTCTAGATTTTAATTTCCAAAATTAATAATAGATGGCACCACCACTTGAGTAGTTTACTATTCTCAAAATAAATATGTATTTCTTCTTCAAGTTTCGTATCCTACAACATGCTCGTGTATTAATGGCTATCATTACATGATCATTGCATAATATAGTTACTATTATAATTTCCTAACGCATTTTTTCCATTATTTGACATTCATCAATGATGGCAATCAACTGTCAGAAAAGCGAAGTCATTATTTACGAGGGCTTTTTCATAAATATTGATTATTTTTGATAAAATTAAATTTAACACTCTCTGGAATACGTTTGTAGGAAGGTATAATGAAGAAAATCTGTGTAAAACATCCTCAAAAATCGATTGAACATATCTCAAATATACCGTTCCATTTCAAGAAAAATTAGAAAAATGTAATTGTTTTCAAATATTCACCCATAGAGTCAGTGCAACTAACTGAAGTTGGAATTTTTTACAACAAAATTAAAGGACAGACAGTCTTTCCAACGAACCTAAGATCGACCCAATTCGTTGAGTCGTTTTGAAGTTATTCGTGTTCTCAAGTTGCAATATTTGACAGCTCATAACTATCTTATCCGATAAGTTATGGTAAAAAGTCATAAATCAAAATTGTGTGAAATTTCATCAAAAATCTATTGCTAGCATTTTTGAGATACGTTTCCATTTGAAATTTAAAATTAAAAAAAATAAAACCATTTTTGTACTTTGACAGTTCCCAGATAACACAGAGGGATCCATAAGACATCCATTGGTTGTCCACTGGACGGCCAAGCAAAAATACTAGGAAGTCCGATGGACATCCAGATTAAGTTCAGTGGATGTCTCATGGACATCCTCTGGCTATCCAGTTGGCACAGCTCTGGATCATTCCTGGATGTCCAGATCATAGCCATGGGGTACCGCTTAAATATCCATTTATGGATGTCCACGAGGCATCCACTGGACTACTTTTGGACATCCTATGGATGACCATGTCCAGCAGTTTTTAGGCCATTTATGGAATATTTTGGATACTTTATGGATGTTCTAGCGGCATCCATTTTTTCTGCCATTCATGGAATACTCCTGGACATAATATGGTTGTCCATAAAGCATCCATTTATGGACATGAGCTGGAAATCAAATTTCAAAAAAATTGCTGTTAAACAAACTTTATTGGATCATTTTATTACTTACACCTAAAAACATTATTTACATAAAATAAGTTTGTGTCATTATTCTGCGGTTTATTTAGGAAAAGGAAAATTATTTAGTATATTCTCAGAATTAAAAATAAAAAATATATTATTAAGTGAGCTGTGCATCGAAATTATTACTGAAACTATAGTTTTTCAATTTTTAATTCTGCGAAAAAGCTTAATAATATCCTTTTCCTAAACTAAACCGCAGAAACAAACTTTCAAAAAATATTATTTTTTATATTAGACAAAAAAAACAGTTATTCTTGGCAAATTAACATTAACATAAAATTATTAAATAACATAAATCATATACGGTCGAAAATACTGGACGGACAAAAAGTGACACTTCAGTCCCTGTCATGAGGGAGTGAAATTGTCGCTTTAGTCCCGGAAGTACGAAAAAAATATATATTTTTTTTTAACAATAAAAAAAAACGACTATTCTTATAGGAACTACTAAAATATCAATAAAAAAATATTGTTTTTTGTCAAACAAAACAAGTTTTACTCTCAAAGGAACCCAACAAACCAAAATAAAAACGAAGATAGCAGACAAGTGTTCACTTCCTTTCTTTTGCTCTACGCATCCAATTTTTGATACTAGTTTCAATGTCCTTTCTAGAAGAATCCTTAAACTTTTTGAAAACAGCATCTGGAACAATAAATTATAAAATAACTATAACTATTTAGACTGATAAATGCAAATAATATACCCTCAACGACTTGCATTAATAAATAGATGTAAAAGCTTAAAATGCTAGACATTAAATTTGCATTTTACGCCCTTAGTACAAAAAATAGTTACTATTTTTTGTATAACTAAGTACCTTTTATTTTAAAATCGAGTAAGACAGTCAGCAGTTTTTAAATTCTAAAAAATGGTTTAAAACTATTGTATGATATACTACTTACCAAACAACACACTGCATAGTTTTAGTTCTGAAAAATTTTTTTTCCCTTTTTTTCCAAAGTAAGTATAGGTCTCCGCCAATCGGTTTGAGATGCAGAAAGACAGGCCACGTTTCACGAATTGGTTAATGTCGATCCCTCCTATCTTAACAACTTCTTTAACCTTGAATAGATAGAAGAAAAATTAAAAAATCAGTATCATGTCTGTTTGAATACGTGACTTTTAACATTTGTATTTTTATAATCTAAATAAATAGACAGAAACCATAGAAAATTGAGTTAGGAATATATAGGTACTTACAACAATTGCATAATTAACATCATTCGATAAATACTCCTCAAAACCTGTTAAATCTTCTTCGTTGCTTAAAGGAAAATTAAAATCTTTAATGAAACTTATTTTGCAAGTTTCATTTATTTCTGAAGGTTTATTATTGGTATCAATTTTTTTGAGTGTTTGATCCATTTCAACTGTATAGCCATGAATTTCTTTAATGTATTGAAATAAAATGTTTTGTTTCCGGACAAGATCTGTCAAAAGCTTTCCTGAAATTAAAAGAAACAAATTTTGATCAAAAATACTTTGCAAAATTATAAATAAAATTCAATACCCAAAAACTCTCTTACCATGCATCTTGCAGCAGCCTGATTCTGTCGCTGAAACGTCCACTCTGATTTCATTGGTATTGTCACATCGAGGGTGTTCTAAAAAATTAATAAAAGGTTAATTTTTAGCTATTAAACGTTTTCGATATTTTAACCAGAACAGAACCTCCTTGTTTGATTTCAAAACAAAATTATAAACTATACATTATAAAATGAACTTTTGTCTTAAAATTATTTTTTTAATAAAATATTAAACTCCAAGCAGTTTTGGACATACCAATTACTCGACCATTTCCTAGTGCTGATCCTAAATTCGATGTCATACTTCCTAGAGAAGACGTCGAAGACGATGACGATCCCTTCGGCGATAATATATTATTGGCATCTGAACGTGGACCTCTTGCATTAGAATTAGCCAGACGAACAGGATTTTCTAGAACAAAACAAAATAGAACGATATTTTTTCTGTGCTACAATATGTAATTACGAAGTGTCTTTATTTTCATGGTTTTATCAAAAACACTTATCAGGAGAAATATTTTCACCTTAATTATTTTTAATTTCAAAAAATTCAAGTTTTATTACCTATTGAAGTTATAAATTTAATAATAATCAATTTCTCAACATACCAACCAAAATTGGGGCCGGTGGTAATGAATTTTTTTTGGGCTTACAGCCTCTTTCCTTTTCGTCCTCACTAGTAGAAATGGGGCTGGATTCCGGCGAAAAAACTTTTTTTGTTCTCTTTTTTCTTGAGGATTTTTCATCACCAGTATCTGAACAGAGGTCCGAGAACATTTCGGCAGTCTGACATTTTTTCCTAGCCGTAAGATAATCATCTGCAAAAATATAAAAGGAAACTGCAACTAAGTGATTTATGGGATTTCAGATTACTGTGAGTTATGATCAACTCACAGAATAATAATTGAACCAGAATTAATAAAAGAACTATTTAGATATCTAGGACTTCTGTTTTAAAAGTTATTAGTATTTTAAATACGTCAAGATAATCAACGCCTTCTATTAATACTCTTACCATATATTCCATTACGAAATATTTTCACAGGGTGCAGTGGCCAGCAAGTGTTTGGCTCCTCATTATTTTTAATAAATTTTAGTAGTTTTTCCTTATTAAATGGCGGCCAATAGCATTTGTTATTATAAATCCATGAGGAGGGCACTGCTTCCACTGCATTTTCCTCCTCAAACTGCACTACACTCCACGTCTTATCCATCCTTTTTTTTCGATGAGCAACGGAATTTCAGTAATTTGAAAAATTATACCAAATGTACAACTTCAAATAAACTAGCTGTAACATAAATTAATTATTATTACAAATAGTAGGAATGCAGTTATATATATAGTTACCTTTTGAATTAGCAGACAATAGCTGGTATACCTACATATACTTAGAATGATAATTGACCATTTTTAAATATTTTAATTTACTTATAGAAAATATTTTATAATTTTTTTTTGATAGAGAATGAGTTTTGAAAAATATGAGACATTATCAAGAAATAAAGTTCAGTTATTTTTGTACCTAGGTTAAACGAGACTTGAAAAAATACACACATTCATGTTAGCTGTGATGTTCATTGTAAAGTGTACCAATGAATAAATAAAATAAATGATATTAAAGCAAATCACTTCCTAGGACATAAAACTACCAGCTATCCCAAAATGTTAATTTAGATGTAAGAGTGGAAGCACTAGAAAAACATCATCCTTGAATGGTAATTTCAAACATTTTGAAGTTATTTCGGAAAGTGGCCACTGTTGGAGTTTGTCCAAATTTCTTACTAAATAAATGCCAAGTAAAGATGATTTTATAGGTTCAGTAAAAAAATCAGAAACATTTAGAAATCTATGTCCAATTATATATGGCAAACCCTTTTTTATTAAAATGTTTCTTATTAATATTAAATTTCCATTTTTTAATGAACAGCAATGATCAGGTGATTCCACAGTTAACAAGAAATTTTGACAATGCACTTTTTGAAACTGCTCATATTCTTCGTCAATATCGATAAGAGGTCCATTAAAATGTCGTGATTTGAAAGTAGGTTCATCAACAGATGATTCTTGTTTATAGAGAAAATCATTGAGTTCAGATTTACGAAATACAATTTGGGCTAAAGGTTTATCTTGTTTACGTACTAATTTTAAAATGATTTGCATGAAATTTTCAAAAGGAAATGCTGAAAAATTAAATAATGGACCGAATTTAGTAAAATCTGCATGGAGGTGCAGAAGATTATGAATGTTATGGGAACAGTGTTCTTGGCCATAAAGAAGACTAAAAGTATGGACAAAATATTCCAGTAATTCACTTGCATAGTTTGTTAATTCTGTGGAAGCACTTGGACTGGAAAGGATGTATATTGATACATGGAGAGACAAGAAATTTAAATATTTATCTTTTGTCAAAATATCTTTTAAAACGAGGGGGCCAGTGTAAATTAAAAATTGGTAAAACTCTGTGGCTTTCCATCTCTTACATTCCATCATAGACCGTGGCTTTCTATTAAATTCAGCCGGAATGCAATATTTTAAATCACATAATTTTTTTGAAATGTTTGAAATTTCACGGAAAGATAGCTTAATTGAAGGAGCGCCATTGCACCAAAGTGTAACTATGAGTTTTTTAACTACACCCAAGTAAACTAAATGCATAGGATCTAAAACAAAATCATCTATCATATTTAAACTAGGTATTTTTTCCAAAATACTAGCCCCCAAGTGATGTTCTTCTTGAGTTTTCTGTCTAAATTTATAGTTATTTCTTAAAACCAAGTTATTAACATTTGGAAAGCAAACTCTATTTTGTATAAATACCCCTTCAATCTCACACTTAGAGCATGAGTAGTATCCATTATGCCCCTTAGTAGAAGTGATAAAGGCCTTTGCCGGTACATCTACAATGAATGCTTTAATTGTAAACTGATACTTCTGATCATTAATTATAATACCCTGTTCTGAAAATTTATTCACTTCCTCCACAAAGTCTTTAAGAAATTCGTTCACATTTTTGGGTTTTTCATTTCCATGGTAAATACCTATTATGTCAACTACATTTCTATTTTGCACTAGTGAGCAAAGTATTGGATAAAACTGAGATCCAGAACTTTTTGATAGTGGAAGTCCATCAATATTAACATAAATCTCAATTTTGTCTATAGGCTTGTTTTTAATACAACAAAATAGGTTCTTAATACATTTTTCTAGGCCGAAATGGAAATATTGTCCAGGAAAAACAATTTTATATTCCAAATTTCTAGGTGTATGTAGTAAACTTCTGGCATCAAGGGGCAATTCATTAAAAGTTGGTTTCAATCGTTTTAATAAATCAGACAATGCAATATGAGATATGTTGAATTTTAAAGCCCACTCTGTTAATTCCGAAGTGATATCTTTTTTTTTTGTAATATTGTCACTGACTCCTAAATTTTGGACAACATTGGAAATTGAATCTTCTAAATCTGAAAAAGGTGAGGGTGAAACTGGGGGTGAAAGGGAAATATTGATATCTAATTCTTTATTGCCATCAAGATCAGGAGGATCTGCCCCGGGATCTGCTAACGTTAAGTCATTATTGAAATTCTCAGAAGCTACCATGAGTGGTGTGGCGTGTATATTCACATTATTGCGAGCATTATTGTCAGCTTGGAAATTATTACTTAAGTAAACATCAGAAGAAACATTATTTTCTTGATTATTATTAGTTCCACATATATTTTCCAAACTCATATCACTATGCAATTTTGCTTTTCTATATTTTGATCTGGAAAGTTTAGGCATTTTATTTGAAAAGTGAGTTGAAAAGTCAAGTAATCATCTAAATACTGTTTCACTGCTATCTATAAATCTATAATCTCATCAAATAACAGTGTTTTCCAACCTAAAAACAAAAAAGATCTATATCAGAAAATAGGTAGTACCTATGAATAATTTTAATTTTCTCACTAATTATGTATTCACCAAAATAAAAGTTAGAACAGTACCCAAATCTATAGACAGCTCGACTGTAATTTTTTTTTTTTCAAAAAAACTATTAGATTGATATTTGAGGTTGTATCAAGGTATAACTTAGGTCTCATCTATAAATATACCTACTCTTCATCTAGCAAATAAGTAAATTATAAAACGGGCTACGACCAAAAAAATTTGCCTTTTTTTTTAGATGAAATATTCATAGCAAAAAATCATAAATCATAAATAATGAACCAAAAATATTTTCATGTTTTGATAATAATTTATTGACGCCATATTGACTGGGTTTCAAAATTTATTGACACATTATGGTTAGATTTTACGATTTCTTTCTAATTTTGTGATAAGCAGAAATAATTAGGTAGGTATATCTATTAATTTCTTACCTGATGGGTGATTGATCCAACAACATCCAACACTGCAACACGACAAAACTTTTGCGAAAAAAATAAATAAAACGATAGCGTCCTGCTCCCCGGGGTCACTGGTTTCAATGGAAATGGTGGCGTTGTGTTGTGTGCGGTGACTATGTACTACAACACTACACCTACAGATTAATTACTAGAGGAACGTTCTTCAAACGATAATTCTGATTTTCTGAAAGGCGGAAACGAACAACTACCTGTTTTTTGGCAATTTTTAAAGTAGAATAATTCCGTTGTTGCGTACGAATACAGCGGTAGAGTGTATCGTTCAAGCAGGCAGCAGCATGAAGGAGTAATGGCTGCTGCTGGAGTGCTGGCTGGCCGCGCAGATGGCGAAACGCAAGATGCCGCGCCCTGATTGGCTGGCGCTCGGTCACGTTAACTTCTATCCCTTTTAATTGGGTGACTCCGTAGCGCTCCTATCGACTGTACCACTGTACTATCGACTAATTTCTTAGACAGAATTTCACAAATGGACCACTAATACCTACCTACCACAACTTATTAATAAATTAAATATTTGAAAATTCATTTTTGATTGTATATAAGTACTTCACTAAATAGTTATCCACTAGAAAGTCATTGGACATCCCAGGAGTTTATGCCATGCATGCATCACAAAATTATTTCGATTTATAGGTTCATTTATGGACACTGAATGGATTTCCAATGGATATCCATTCCTGGCAGTTCAGTAATTGTCCAAAAAAAAAGTCCACTGGATGTCCATTTCAAGACCATGATATTTATTTACATTTGTGGACATTAAATGGAATTCCAATGGATATCCGTTCCTTTCTGTCCATTTAATGTCTAAAAAATATAGTCCAATGGATGTCCAGTTTGTGACCATGATTTTTATATACATTTGTGGACGATAAATGGATTTCCAGAGGATATCCGTTTCTTGTGGTTCAGTTTTTGTCCAGAAAATATAGTCCATTAGATGTCCAGTTTATGACCACGATTTTTAGAAACATTTGTGGACACTTAATGGATTTCCATTGGATATCCGTTTCTGGCTGTTATCAGTTATTGTCCAAAAAATATAGTCCATTGGATGTCCATTTAATGTCCCTGGACATCTGTACATATTTTGTACCTAAAATGGATATCCATCGGATGTTGGGTGTTATCTGGGTTGGGTTACGCCCCCTTACGGTCATTTTAGGAAGCTGAAATATATTTCCAGCATTTTCTCTTGGCCATATTTATGGAATAATTTTTTTCCGACATGACTACGATGAATAGTTTTTGAGATATGGCCGAGTGCCATTCTTAAAGACTCACCCTGTATTTTTAATGAATCACCCTGTACAACGTGTGTCTCAAAACCGTGGTATGCTTTGTTTTATGATTGAGCGCCACGCCTGTAGAATGTGGTGGGATATGTTACATTTCATATCCTAAAGCGTTATTTCGTTTACCTTTTTCCGCCACATGTTTTAATCCATTGACGCTGCCCCTCTCGCGGTAGCGCACTGGTGTGTAGGATCCTTTAATGAACATTTTTGATAAATAAAGAATGAAGGCTTTCACGGCCGGTCAAATCTAGCAAAAAAGTTTTTTCCGGGCTATAATGCCGTGGTCCATTAGTATTTCTACCTAACGTTTCGTCTACTGCTGCGGTAGACATCTTCAGAGGCGGTGTGGTAGAGGACGAAGTGTTCTCTTCCGTGTTTCTCCGATGACTGAATTCGACGTTGAGGGAACTGCGTTATTTATATCCAGGGTTGTGGACGTGGCTTGGATTACGGTATTTTCCTTGCCTCGTTCTCGGAAAGGAAGGGTCTTTGTTTTTCGGAGAACTGGCAACCAGCTTTTATTGAGGTTCATGCCCTCTTCTTTTCTGTTGAAGTTGTTGTGGTGTTTCTGTATCTCTATGGCTTCTCTGTGGAGCCTGGTGTAGAAATGTTTGGTTCTATCCAATGTTTGAGTCTGGTCGAAACGAATGACATGGTTTGTTTGTGTAAGCACGTGTTCGGCGATTGCTGATCTATCTATTTGTCCTTGCTGACAGTTTCTTTTGTGCTCTTTGACCCTGGTGTTGATAGAGCGTTTGGTTGTTCCTACATAGACAGATCCACAAGAGCAGGGAATTCTATAGACGCCAGCCGATTCAAGAGGTGCCCTAGGATCCTTGGCCGATCTTAGACTTTGCTGAATTGTTCTTGTGGGCTTGTAGATAGGCTTAACGTTGTGTCTTTCTAGCGTTCGTCCTATGCGATCTGTGACATTTTTGATATAGGGAAGAAAGGCTCTCCCTGCCACCTGTGCTGGTTCCTTGTTAGTTGTGCGCTGCTGCTTCGGTCTTATGGCTCTATTTATCTCCTGCTTGGAGTACCCATTTCCTTCAAGTGCCGATTTTAGGTGTTGCATCTCGTCCTGAAGGTATCTGGGTTCACAAATCCGGATTGCTCTGTCAGATAGAGTTTTAATGACTCCTCTCTTTTGCCTAGGATGGTGATTAGATTCCTTGTTGAGGTATCTGTCCGTATGTGTCGGCTTCCTGTACACTCTGTGTCCCAGTTTACCTGAGGGTAATCTTTCTAAGAGGACGTCGAGGAATGCAATTTTGTTATCCTTCTCAACTTCCATCGTAAACTGTATCCTGGGTTCTATCGAGTTTAGATGATTAAGGAAGTTTTCGAGCTCTGCCTCTCCATGGTTCCAAACAACAAATGTGTCATCTACATAGCGAAACCAACAAGTAGGTTTCTTTGTAGCCGTTCGTAGTGCCATTTGTTCGAAGTGTTCCATGTAAAAGTTGGCGATAACCGGGCTGAGTGGACTTCCCATTGCGACTCCATCTGTCTGCTCAAAGAAAATTCATTTTGCCATTGAAAGTACGTAGTCGTCAGACAGTGGTGAAATAAGTTGTTGATTTCTTCCGGAAAAACATCTTTCAGATACTCTAAGGCCTGATTTACTGGTACCTTAGTAAACAATGAGACGACATCAAAACTAACCAGAATGTCGTTTGGTAATAGAGTGATATCACTGATCTTTTTGATGAAATGAGTTGAGTCCTTGACATAAGAGCTGGATTGGCCAATCCGTGGTTGAAGGAGGGTGGTGAGGTATTTGGCTATGCTGTATGTGGGCGAATCTATTGCACTTACAATGGGCCTGAGTGGGTTGCCTGTTTTGTGAATCTTAGGAAGCCCATATATTCTAGGTGGTAAGGCCTCAGATTTGATGAGTTTCCTTATGTTTTCCGGCTCCAACGGTAGTGCTCGGATGAGTTGATTGGTTTTTCGCAATATAGAAGCAGTGGGATTACGTTTCAGCTTTCTGTAGGTGGAGGGGTCTAGAAGTTCGGAGATTTTCGATTCATAGTCAGTCACGTTCATGATTACCGTTGCGTTTCCTTTATCCGCAGGCAGGACTAGTATGTTCTCGTCTGTATTCAGGCTGCGAATAGCTTTCCTTTCCTCGTATGTCAGGTTGCACTTTGGAAGTTTCGCAAGTCGTAGAATCCTAGAGGTTTCATTGCGTATTTCCTCCGCAGTGGTTTGAGGTAATGTGCGTATGCTGGCTTCCACATTTGCTATGATGTCTTCGTATGGCAGGTCTTTCGGTGTTATCGCAAAATTGCCTCCTTTTCTCAGAACACTGGTTTCCGAATCAGTCAGAACGCGTTGGGTCAGGTTGACAACTGTGCGATCATTGCCTGTGGGTTTCGTAGTGTTTACTGGCTTCAAGGAGTTAAACTTGTTTACCAGTTTCTTGGTTGTTTTCGCTAGTGTGGCTTCCATCACGTCATACGTCATCCGGTCAACTTTGTCCCAGTCACTCCAGTGCATGCTGTTGGATAACCTTTGGTTTATCGATAGAAGATCCTTGCTTCGGGAACGGATCCACCAAACCAGGAAAGACCTAGCAGCTATGGACAAGGATCTTCTATCGATAAACCAAAGGTTATCCAACAGCATGCACTGGAGTGACTGGGACAAAGTTGACCGGATGACGTATGACGTGATGGAAGCCACACTAGCGAAAACCACCAAGAAACTGGTAAACAAGTTTAACTCCTTGAAGCCAGTAAACACTACGAAACCCACAGGCAATGATCGCACAGTTGTCAACCTGACCCAACGCGTTCTGACTGATTCGGAAACCAGTGTTCTGAGAAAAGGAGGCAATTTTGCGATAACACCGAAAGACCTGCCATACGAAGACATCATAGCAAATGTGGAAGCCAGCATACGCACATTACCTCAAACCACTGCGGAGGAAATACGCAATGAAACCTCTAGGATTCTACGACTTGCGAAACCTCCAAAGTGCAACCTGACATACGAGGAAAGGAAAGCTATTCGCAGCCTGAATACAGACGAGAACATACTAGTCCTGCCTGCGGATAAAGGAAGCGCAACGGTAATCATGAACGTAACTGACTATGAATCGAAAATCTCCGAACTTCTAGACCCCTCCACCTACAGAAAGCTGAAACGTAATCCCACTGCTTCTATATTGCGAAAAACCAATCAACTCATCCGAGCACTACCGTTGGAGCCGGAAAACATAAGGAAACTCATCAAATCTGAGGCCTTACCACCTAGAATATATGGGCTTCCTAAGATTCACAAAACAGGCAACCCACTCAGGCCCATTCTAAGTGCAATAGATTCGCCCACATACAGCATAGCCAAATACCTCACCACCCTCCTTCAACCACGGATTGGCCAATCCAGCTCTTATGTCAAGGACTCAACTCATTTCATCAAAAAGATCAGTGATATCACTCTATTACCAAACGACATTCTGGTTAGTTTTGATGTCGTCTCATTGTTTACTAAGGTACCAGTAAATCAGGCCTTAGAGTATCTGAAAGATGTTTTTCCGGAAGAAATCAACAACTTATTTCACCACTGTCTGACGACTACGTACTTTCAATGGCAAAATGAATTCTTTGAGCAGACAGATGGAGTCGCAATGGGAAGTCCACTCAGCCCGGTTATCGCCAACTTTTACATGGAACACTTCGAACAAATGGCACTACGAACGGCTACAAAGAAACCTACTTGTTGGTTTCGCTATGTAGATGACACATTTGTTGTTTGGAACCATGGAGAGGCAGAGCTCGAAAACTTCCTTAATCATCTAAACTCGATAGAACCCAGGATACAGTTTACGATGGAAGTTGAGAAGGATAACAAAATTGCATTCCTCGACGTCCTCTTAGAAAGATTACCCTCAGGTAAACTGGGACACAGAGTGTACAGGAAGCCGACACATACGGACAGATACCTCAACAAGGAATCTAATCACCATCCTAGGCAAAAGAGAGGAGTCATTAAAACTCTATCTGACAGAGCAATCCGGATTTGTGAACCCAGATACCTTC